GGCATCCGAAACTCTATCCAGGTCCTCATAGACTACGACGATGGGGACCTCCCCCCCATAGGAGTCTCTGGACCTCTTGGTTGAAGACTGCAATGGCCCTGAAGAATCTGGTGCTCTCCAACTTTGACCTCCTGAGTCACTCATTAGACTGGAACTCCTCAACATAATCTTCTCAATCACCTTGGCCTGACGGGTCAGCTTTGCAAAGACTCGTGGGGGATCGTCAACTAATTGCATTTGGATGTCATTGTGGAGTCCCTCTATAAACCTCCAGCAATTGTGGTACTTATATGCTACCAACTCGGGTGCATAACGACTCAGAAAAAGGAAGTCACGCTCGTACTCCATCACCGATCGGTCTCCTTGGATAATATTGGTGAATTAGTCTCTCATATCATCATCATGTGCCTTCCTAATGTATTTCTGTCAAAAGTCCTCCAGGAAGTACTCCCAAGTCAGTCTCTCTAGCTCAAAGCTAACTCGACTGTCTCCCACCAATAAATGGCATCACCCTTTAGCAGAGTGGTGATGCACTCAAGCCCACCCTCTAGGGTAAGATGCAATTGTCTCAAGGTACGAAGGGTATCACGAAGCCACTATTCGATGACTATCAGATCATCATCTCTGGAGCCATAGAAGTTTAGGTCTTATAGTGTCTCAATCGCTCTACAGGTGGCTCATGAGGTGCAACGGATGGTGGAGCGAGTAGGGTAGGTGTGACAGGTGCTCTCGGGATAGCTCGCGCAATATTCCTAAGGGTGTATATGAGGTCCCTAAAGAATGTGGACTCATCGATCTTTGTTCCCTCTGGGACACCTTTATCATAGGTGTCCGAGACATACTCATCTTTGATATCTCGACGAGCGAAACAAGGTTCTCATCATGACCCTCTTAGATGGGAACTGGGTCGTCAACCATATCCTACAAAGTTCAAAGAAGGGATTCATTATACTGACACTCTAGGGGCATGTACATCACTGACTCATTATATATGTACGCTCAAGTAACCCGGGTGTCCTCATTATTTCTTAAACATCAAACAAATGCTAAAATATTAAGGGTTTCAAATGTTATTACCACTTGTAGTCTTATTTAAGAACCCTTGATGCCCTCATAACCCCTCAACAAACTTATAAAATTTTACTAAGTTCTCTACCTTATACAAGACATTAGTATAGATACTTAGCCCGTCAGTATCGATATTGGCCTTAGTATCTATACCAGTTTGAGCTTCGATGTTTCAATTTTAATCTCAGTATCGATACCCTGATATAGATTATTGATACTCTCTCAATGGTATCGATACTCTCGAGAGTATAGGTACCAATTTGGAATTCTGGAAACCTGGTATCGAGACCACACACTTGGGTATCGAGATTGAACCTCGAATATCGATACTCCTTGAAGGGGTATCGATACTCACCCTTAAGAATTTCCTCATTTTGCCTTATACGAAGAATAGTATCGGTACAGTTCTTATAGTACCGATACTGACGGTCCAAAATGCTATGTTTAAGCACGAAGATGGCTCCTTAAAGTCTCTCTTAAGCCCCCTTAAGGCCTCTTTTATGCCCCCTTAAGGCTACCAAAAGTTTGTTAAGTTTTATGAGGTTATTTAACATCGAAATGAGTCATTTTAACATGACAAAATCATCAATTAACCATGCTACTATTAACACCCATTTTGCACCCAAAGAACACAACAAGAAAGAAAACATAGACTCATGTCTTACATATGGTAAAAAGGGAGTTACTCATATGTTACCTTAGCTCTAATTGATGGAAAAAGGCTCCAACGGTCACCCAAGCACCAAATTTTCTTTGTTCTTGGCTTTTGAACACTCACCATGCTCTTTCACTAATCAAAGCAAACAAGGATGTTACAAACTCAATTTAATGCTCCTAATGAATAGAAACATGTTTATAATCACTCAGAAACAACTAGAAACATTCTCACTTCCAAAAATCAAAACCCCTTTAGAACCCACATTTTGACCACTATGGCCAAACCTCAAGATTTTGGGTTCAATTTAAAGCTTTAAGGGTGCATATTATTTTTCTTACCTTCTTAAATCTAGAATGGTTGTGGAGAACTACAAAGTTCTCACCTTTAATGCTCAAGATAGGAAGAAGAAGAAGAAGAAGAAGAAAATGATGAGGGAGAGAAGAATGAGATAAAGGTGATGAAATGAGGAGAAAGATTTTAGCTTTCTCTTTCCGTATACATTGGCATAAATAAATGAAATCGACCTTATCTTTCAAACTAGGGTCTAATTACACCCTAGGTCCTTCCTATTTCAAATCAAATTCAAAAATACCATTTTTATCAACTTGTGGGTTTTCTACAAGCCCAATTCTCTTTATTCTTAACCCAATTGGTTAAATTTGCCATACCCAAGTACTCGAAGCCCAAAATTATTACTCAAAACTACTAACTCAGTTTTCGGGGTGTTACAGACGAGTTCTAATAAAATATAGGATAAACTACATAAATGACCACGTTACTAGGGATGATTGTTCAATCGAGTCGAGTCGAGTTGAGTTGAGTCAAAATATTTCGATTTATTCGAGTTTACGAGTCCTATTTTATAACTCAGAGTTGACTTGAAAATATTTCGATTTGAGTCAAGTTTATAAAATTTGAGTCGAGTCAATTTTTCTAGTTTCTATTTAATTTTAATTGTAATTATTTTCAATATTATAATATTATTTTATTCTAATTTAGGTGACTTTCTATAACTATATATACAATAAAAATATACTTCTTCGTATTTTCTTCATATGTGATATACATATCTCACACAAAGTCGAAGGACTCGACTCAAACTTGAAAATAAATCCACTAATTACTAAAAATTTTGAGTAATCCGAGTTGTATTTTACCACTCAATTTGAACATGAAATTTTTTCGAGTCGAGTTTATGAAATTGCAACATGAAGTCAATTCGATTCGAATCGAGTCGAATAAATCGATTTTTCGAGTCGAATTTTGGTAACCCCTACACATAACTATAGGCCAAGTCGCGAAATGACCACCATTTTCAAAGTTACGACAAATATACCACTAAACTATTTAAACGGGTTCAAAATTGTTACACGACATTAACATTTAACAAAGGTGTTTAGGTGGTAGTTAAAAAATTGGTTTAATTAGGGCGAGAGTCCTTGTAAAGTTACATATTCGTGGCACTGGCACCCTACTTTATTTTCTTCCATTTTGGTCGCTACTTGTATATGATTTGCTTCCTTGGATTTTCATTTAATCTAATTTGATCTTGATTTTGTTTTTAAGTTGTCTAATGCCTTAATTTAAGGATTAACTTTAAAATCTTTTATTCTAGTCATGTATTAAATTTGTATATTAAATCCCCTAGATTTTAGAATTAATTAATTTGATCACCAATATTAACTTTAATTTTTTAATTAGGTTTCTCAGATTAAATTGTGACACATGTCACAATCTTATGATTATAATTTGAATATTAACTATAATATATATATATAATTTTTATCATTAATTATAATATAATATATATAATAATTTGAATATTAAATTATAAATAAACTATTAGATTTATTTTAATGATTTTAATGTTTTCATATTCTCAATTAACTTAATAATATGAAACAATAATTATATCATATTATTTATTAACTATATTATATCAATTATATCTCCCTGACATCACAATAATTTCATAATTAATAAATATTATCTGACTTCACCGCGAGCACTCCCCATCATGAGTCTCGTACTCATGTATATCAAAGTACTTATACAAGAGGAAGAAGATGATTGTTAAAGTATGCTTGAATTCATTTTTTATTCACTTGAAAAATGACATATTTTCTCACATTTAGTTCTTTTTCTTTTATATGTTTTACAGTTTAGTGACTCCCTTTACTCCTTCAAAGTCCTACCACTAGGGGTGTTCAAAATCGGGTACCCGTGTTTTTGGGTATCCTAAATACCGGGTGCCCGTAATTTTCAGGTATCAAAATTTTGGCTTGTGTCTTGACCTATTACATCGGGTACTTATGAAACTCGGGCACTTGTATTTTCGGGTCACATGTACCCGATTTATAATTTTATTTTTTATTTTTTAGAGTTATATTATCTTTTAAAAAATATAAAGAAAATTGTAAAATTTAAATATCTATAATATAAAATTCACACATAAATTTAAAAAAAAAACAAATTACATAACTAAGAAAATTATTAAAAAATTTAAAAAATTATAATTAAACTTCAAATGTTTTGAAGTTAAAATAAATATTCTAAAAAATAATTTAGAGTGTTAATGTGAAATAATTTAAGGAATTAATAATTTGGAATGTTATGGTGACAATATTTAAGAAATTAAGAATTTAGAATGTTAGAGTGATATAATTTGAGAATTATAAATAAAAATTTAATATAAAATAAAAAAACAATATATATATATATATATATATATATATATAATAAATCGGGTACAAGGTATGCGGGTACCAAGTTAAACAACATTTTGTTATATTAAATTGAAATTAGGACCTAATTAAAAATTAAGAATTAAATTATTCTTGGTGATCAAATTGATTAATTCTAAAATATATTTTTTATTAAAATTTGTCACTCGAACGTGACAACAAATTAAAAATATATATATATTTTATTGAAACTTTTCACTTAATCGGGATGAGATTGAATAAAAAATATTATTTGGACAAACTCATCATATGGGCGCGATGAATTCATCATGCACTATAATATTTGCCGTATATCTAAAATTAATTTTTGAGATGATCTAATAAGCTAATTTTTTCATCTACCTGACTTTTTGGGTCAATTTTTCTAGCCTTAGGTTTGGGCAACACAGGAGTAGGACAAAACAAATTTTTTTTATAAACATCGACATCTTATTTATTGATCAATTAATCTAAATTGAATATTGACCAGGTAATCACATGACACCTGCTTTGTTGAATGTAGTTGATAGTTGTGATGGAGGCATAAATGAAAGGCGGGCAAAGAAACAATTTGACACAGCAAATTTAATGTCCACCACTTGTTTCTGGAACCATGTGCTTCTGTTTTTCCTGATTTTAAATTTACATAATAAATACAAATGCATCTTACGGACTGATATTTTAGAATAATTATCAAATAATAAATCAGAAACCTCATCGTTATTCGTCAAGGGCCATCCAACGTCCACCAGTTCTGCAACCACGCATATTTCTGCATTTGATTTTAGACCGACTCAAAACTTCTATGCGCTGCTCTAGGAACTTTCATGCCGAAACCACGCTTCGCTTTCTCAACACTGTTTCAAAATCACATCAACAATGCTTCAGGAATATTATCATAGTAAGGACTAGATTGTAAATAAGATAGACAGATCACGAACTACTCGAGTTTTAGTTTCAATCAACTTAAATTTGAGTATGTTTCGAATTCAAATTTTTTCAATCTCGAGTCGAGCTTTGATTTTCGATTTTGAGTTAATCTTGAAATTTTAAATTAGCGAGCTTTCGAGTCAAGTTTCATTTTTTGATTTCGAGTTCGGGTCGAACTCGATAGTTTTAAATTTGCGAGTTTTGGAATCGATGTCAACTTCAAATTTTTCGAGTTGAGTCAAGCTCAGCAACACTCGAACTCGACTCCTTCACAATTTTATTAAAGAACTCCCATGAAAAAGGAGATGAACCAAACGTTAGAAAGAAGTAAAAAAAGACAGAAGTAGCACATACGTTGGGGCAAGTTTGCCGAGGCTATGTAGTTCTGCACCAGTATCCTCATCCAACACTTTGCCTGATATCTCAATTATGTAAAATCTATCTCTATCAATTGGAAGCCCTCTACTGGCAAGCAGATCCAAATCTTTCTGATGGAGCTCTCTCCCATTTACAAAAACGCCAGTCGTCCCGCCAGCACAATTTCCCGGCATCGGATAGTTAAATTCTTCGATACATGGCTGCAACAGAAATTTATTTGAGAAACATCATGCAGAAATCAAATGACGACAGATACGTGTATCTGTTAATATATACGCAAGAATTATTTGATCTTACATGAATTATGCCAAGACAAGGTCCGCCCAGAACACCCCAGAATCCAGCTCGAAAATCATACCTGATTACATAAAGATCAAGTAATATCAGTAGCAGGTTTTATTTATCAGGCTTGATAAAATAATCCTCCTTTGAATTTATTCCTTTATATGTGAATGTTCACATTTATCATATGATAGGCATGCTAAAACTATTGAAAAAAAACAGAAAACAGATCAGAAAGAAAACCAATGTAACCTTACCAATAGTGTCCCGGACGAATTGCTCCGAACTTTGCAGATATTGCATGGTGCAACACCGAACTTTGCAGATATTGCATGAATGCGTCACGATTACTGTCAATGTTCTCTCTAGGAAAGTATGGATGAGGTGGCTGTTGCTCGGATGCCCCAGCCAACTGATGAGAAGTTCTTCCAAGCAGTTGGGGTCCAAACGCATTTCCGTATGCAGGAACATAGTTTGGATTATGCGTCGGAGGATACAATCCATGCCGAGTCATTTCATTTCCAACGGGGTAAGCGAACTGTTTCGGAAAATGACTGAAGTAAGAGGGTTCTGCCCTATCAGCATGTTTATCAAGTCCATAGAAAGGTATTGGAGGCTTTTGTGATCCAGAAGAACCATTTGGAAACCAGGAATCAGCACCCTCGTATGACTCTGGAGGAGCAACCCTCCCATCAACTGGAACCTTCTCTTTTGGTTTATCAACCACAACACAAGCCCGACTGAGTTGCTCCTTTAGCTCATCTAGCTTCCTCAAAAGCCTAGCACGATCCTCATCATGGAGAATTCTACCAGAACCATCCCGGTCCATTTGAGCCTTCAATGATTCAGCATACCTAAACAAAGAATCCAAAAGATGGTCCGATGTGCCCTCATCTGAATGGTTTGAAATTGAAAATCGCACATCCTCAGCATCAGTTCTTGGGATTCTCGGAAAACCATCCATCTCTTCTTGCTTCCCAACCTGCCACTCTGATATCTGTCCTTCTCTTTGTGATCCACTAGTATATCCAAAATCAGAATCGAAACCCTCGTGTTCTCTTCCGATCGAACTTGCTATTTTATCCTTATTCATGCTCATGTTAGTATCGGCAATAATTTTAGGTTCTTCCCTACTTTTGCCAGTGCAGTCCACATCTGTATCCCTTGCATCACACCTTAAAGGACCAGCATTTGATTTACCCTCTGCACCAGAGGTGTCACTGGAGTCTACTAAATCCTTATCAATCGAAATTTGGGACTTAGTATAAACTCTGCGGAGCCTGTCTTCTTAGGACTTCCCGGAGAAAGTTTCTGCTTAAGGATTCCTAATTTTTTCTGTTAAACACACATCATTCCACCATCCAAATTAGGAAAGACTATAAATTTTATGGAAGAAACTATGCTCATCGGATTGCAAAGGATCTAATGAAAAGGCTCAAAGAAAAACAGGAAACTGAAATCCAAAGCCTGACAGGATTTCATTATTTGATTTCAACAAAATTAAGGAAGAGAGTTGTTTTTGTATCATCGTCAATACAAATCTATAGTACGGCGTAAATTAAAGAACAGAACCCAACCATTGCCGACAAACAACTAGCAATTAGATTCTAATCACATTTAATTGTCAAAAAGAACCACAAAATCCATACCTTCACTATGGTTTAACCAATTAGTTAAAAGTTTGATGTTAACCCAGATCCCAGACTCGCAACAAGAATATTTCTCTTGTCTTCAACAACTTTATCGCCTACCAAACAAACACCTAGGAAAAAGAAAGAAAGAACAAAAAATGAGGAGAAAGGATAAATGCCTCGATGAACAGCAGCGGAGCCACCACATTGGTAAATAGAATAGTCAGAGAATTCTGGGAGAAGATATTTCACACGTTGGACAGCTAACCGACCTTATTTTGGTTGACTCGGCCAGTTTTCTAGTCATTCAAAGCCGCGCCCGACAAGAAGCAAGAAAACGACGCCACGCCGAAAGAAATTTCGTTCCCGGGCCATGCTTTGTAAGAGCTTGAAAGAAAATCCCCGAACGCTCTTGCAAGTTGCAACAACCATCAACATCAAACTCCTAAACTAAAAGAACCTATCTTTTAAGCTAGCTTTGGGATCCCATAAACAGAGAGGTAGGGAAGTAATTGAGGGTTGTGTAAATTTTTAAGAAGGAAGTTTCCCTGTTGTTTTCCTTGGTTTTCTCAGAGATCAAACGGGGTAGAGAAAGTTTGGGAAATTGTTAAGATCATTTAGCAGGGAGGGGAAAACAATGGAGCAAGCTAAACTTGGGTGGTGTTTGTTTTCCTTCGTACACAGTTTATTTTTTTAGAAGATAAATTCTTTTAATGATTCCTCTTTCTATCGTTATGTCTTCAAAATTCTTTTAACATTTTCAAAAGAATATTAAAAAATATAGATTGATTTATTTTAAAAAATTTATTATTGTAGTTATATTGATTATTTAAATTTTAATATTGTAAAATAAAAATTATTTAAATTTTAGTATTGTAAAATTATTTTAAGTTTAAAAAATTAATTTATTTTAGAAGTCTACAAACGTTAATTTAATAAGGTTATTTATTAAATAATTTATTAGTATGGATTGATTTATTTTAAAATATATATTGATTTATTTTAAAAAAAAATTATTATTATAGTTGTATGGATTATTTAAATTTCAGTATTGTAAAACTAAAATTATTTAAATTTCAGTATTGCAAAACTCTTTTAAATTTAAAAAATCAGTTTATTTATATTTTAGTTTATTTTAGCAGTCTGCAGACGTTAATTTAATAAGGTTATTTATTAAATAATTTATTAGTATAAATTGATTTATTTTAAAATATAGATTGATTTATTTTAAAAAATTAATTATTGTAGTTGTATGGATTATTTAAATTTCAGTATTGTAAAACTAAAATTATTTAAATTTCAGTATTGCAAAACTCTTTTAAGTTTAAAAAATCAGTTTATTTATATTTCAGTTTATTTTAGCAGTCTGCAGACGTTAAAAAACAAACAGTCTTCTTCTTGCAGACTGCAGACTTTTGGTCCTCCTCTTCTGCTGCATATGTCTGTAGATGTGGTTCGCAGACTGCAGACCTTTTACCTCTGCAAAAACAAACACCACCTTAATGAAAACACTCGCAAATAATTTGAGTTTAGTCTGTTATATATATAATATTTGACCTTTTCTGGGCTATTTACATAAATACCGATATTTAAAATTTTATTTATTTATTTATTTATTAAAGTAAACTAGACATTTAGTACGTAACGTATTAGTTCTGATATATTTTAATACATAAACTTTCGATTGTTTAAAATCATACCTATCGTTTAATCTTTGTTTCATTTTAGTATCACCATCGTTACAAACTAAACATATTTAATATTTAAACTATCAGTTTGATCCGTTTTAGTACCTAAATGTTTTTTAAAAAAAATTAAAATTTAACATTAAATTTTGAGTATTAGTACTAAAATAAAACAAAAACTAAACTTTATGTATCATTTTCAAAAAATTACAATTTAAGTACTAAAACGGAAAAAAATCGATAACTTAGATACTAAACACGTAATTTATCATATTTTTATTAGTATGTGTGATTACAAGGTAATATATAATACTCTTAATTATTTCATAATAAATGCACAAACATTGTTAAATAACTCATGATCAAACCTAGAACCTCTTCTAACCGCTCAGTTCGCTTGATTCGTGTAATTTTTTTTTATAAATATGAGGTGATTATAAGGTTGTATCTATTTAAAGTTCCTTAATCATTTGATAATAAATGTTCATACTTATGCATATGTAGTGTTTATATTTTTTAAATTAACACATATGATAAAAACATATTAAGTTAATCATATTTTTAAAAAGGGTTAACTACATGGATGAGAATTTATCTTTGTGTTTTGTCCACTTTTGGTCACTGATTTTAAAAAACATAAGATATGATCACTTTTGTTTTTATTTAATTAAGATATGGTCACTTTCGTTTTTATTTAAATAATTTGTGGTCACCCCAAGTTAATTACCTTTTAACATAAGTTAAATATTTGTCTCTTTTATTATATATTCTCTCAATTTAGTCATACTTTTAATAAATTAAAATAAATTTAATCCTCCAATCGAACGATACCACATGTCATGCCAGTATGGTTGTTCAAAAATACCCGATCTGGTTGAGTTGACCCTTCGAGCCGCTGACCCAGTTAAAAAATATCGGGTATTTATAATAAAAAGATCATGTATTTGTAATTAAAAAAAATGATTTTTCAGGTCAGGTATCTGACCAGGTTTCCGGGTCGAGCATGGGTTACAAAATGTTAGTTAACCGGGTACCCTCCAACCCAGTACCCGATTTATTATATATTTTTTATTTTTTATTTTTCATTTTCATTTTATATTAAATTTTTATTCATGATTCTTAAATTATTTCACTCTAACATTAAAAAAATCCTAGTTTCTTAAATTTTGACACCATAACGTTCTAAATTCTTAATTTCTTAAATTATTTCACATTAACATTCTAAATTATTTTTTAAAGTATTTACTTTAAGTTCAAAACATTTGAAATTTAATTATATTTCATTATTTTAAATTTTAATAAAATTTTATTTCAATTATGTAATTTGAATTTTTAAACTTTATGTGTGGATTATATATATTATATATTTTTTTAGAATTTTTTATATAACTTTTATATATATATATATATATATATATAATTTAAAGAAAATATAAAAAATATATGAAACGGGTACACGTGACCTGAATATATATAATATAATATATATTTTAACTTAAAATATTTTTATGTTAACTTATTAAATATATTTTACTATTAACTTAATTTAAAAATATTTCATTTTTATTTTCATTTAAAAATATATAATTTATTTTAATTTTTAAAAGTATGACTAAATTGAGAGAATATGTAAATAACAGAAACCAAATGTGTGAATATTTCAAAATATTTAACTGATGTTAACGATAATTAGGTCGGGTGACCTAATCTTGCTTAAATAAAAAATATAAGTGATCATATCTTATGTATTTTGAAATCAGTGACAAAAAGTGAACAAAACTCAAAGATAAGTGATCAACCGTGTAGTTAAGCATTTTAAAATATATGTTTTATAAATGTGTCAATCTCAAATGATAATTCAATCAAGAAAGAATAATAAAAAGTACGTTTTATCAACGGCAGCTTTCTAAAGTTCGATCAAAACTATACTTTGACATCATAAATTGAAAAAACTCATAATATTAGTTTATATAAAGATAAATGAAATGTTAATGTTAATGTTTATTTTTTTTTTATGAAATTCAAGTGTTGAAGAGTTTTACTTTAATTTTGTCTCTCATATAATCGTTATTTTTTTATATTTACATTTTATATTATAAATTTAAGATATTGTTGACTCTCAACTAATTAAATTTTATTATTAAAAGGTAAATTAAGTTTATAACGATTAAAATTATATATTTTAATATAATAAAATATTTAATTTTATAAATATTAAATTTAATTTATTAAAAAATATATTAAAAGTTTCAAGAATCTAAACGGTAAAATTAAAATCTGAAAAAACCGATAGCGTCTTTCCTTAGCTGTATATTAAGGCTGTCGCATGGTAGAACTTCTCTGTTGTGGAAATTCTCACGTGCTACAGCCTTAATATACGGCTAAGAAAAAGCGATACCAATTTTGTTATTTTTTTTTAATAAAACCAGTAAAAAATTACCGGAAACATTATTATTTCTATCGGTTTTGTTAACATATCCGGTAAAGTGCTATCGCTTTTGTTATTTTTTTCTACCGATTTTATTATTATTAGGCACTTTAGCGGAAATGTTAAAATACATTAATGTTTTAGGTAGAAATAATAATGTTTTAGGTAATTTTTTACCGGTTTTGTTAAAAAATAATAACAAAACCAGCATCGTCTTTCCTTAGCTATATATTAAGGATGTCGCACGTAGGGATGACAGTATGACCCGAACCCGACGGGGAAACTCGATCAAGTTTGGGTCGGTCGGGTTGAATGATATCGGGTCGGGTCGGGTATCGGGGATTTTTTCGGGTTGGGTTCGGGTTCGGGGCAAGGTATCCCCGTCCCGATTATATATATATATATATAATATTTTATATTTTTTATAATTATATATATATTTTATATTTTTATATTAATATATATAAAATATTTTCGGGTTCGGGTTTAAGTATAATATTTCGGGTCGGGTTCGGGGACGGGGTAAAAAAAATCCCTGACTGGGCGCTCCGATAAAAAATTCATCAGGGATTGGGTCGGGGTCGGGGACGGGGATTTATTTCGGAGTTGGGTTCGGGGCGGGTTTCGGGGACAGGCGAGCAAAACCCGCCCCGAACCCGACCCGTTGCCATTCCTAGTCGCACGGTAGAACTTCCCGAATGGTCAGCGTATACATTGATTTAAACATTTAACTTTTTATATAAATTTTAAAATTTTAAAATTTTAAAAAGCCTTTAATTTCATAATTTATTGAAAAATTATATTCTTCATTTAATTTTTTATTTTGCAGCTTACTCTAATAATATATTAATGTTTTGTATAATTTATTTGTTTAATATTTAACTTTTCAATTAAATATATTAATTAAATTATCCTAACAATTAAAATATTAATAGTTAAGATTTAAATATTAAAACATTATTCAAGTCAATCACAACAGTACTTTGTATAAATGTTTAGATATTATAATTGTCCATAATAGTAATAATAATAAATTTATTTATTTATTTTCTATTTTTTGGACATGAAAAATAAAAAATAAATGATCTAAACTTAATATTAAACAAATTCATTTCTATTAAAATTTATTTTTTATTTAATGTGTTTATTTAACAATTCATATTTTTTATATGAAATTTGATTTAAGTTATAGATAGAAATTTTCAGTCTTGAGCTCAATTTGATGAAGTTTTATAAACATATTTTGTCATAAATTATATAACTATTTATTTAATTAAATTTAAATATTCTCATCAAAATATTGTTAATAAAATTTAATCTAAATTTTATAAAATTAATTTTTAAAATATTTTTTATATCAACACGTTTAATTTTAATTGATACAAATATATTTTTATTTTAATGGTAAATTTTAGCTACTTGATATTTAATAATAGTGTATGATGTGGATTTACCATGATACAATATAAATATAAAAAGTAGAAATCATATAAAAAAAATTAGAGGAAGACTCATTAGCTCTTGAATCTCATATAAAA